AAAGAGTGTTGGGTTAGACTTTGTGTCTCCTGTACAGATAAGTGAAACAACAACAACAAAAGGGGCACAAAGCTGCTTAAAGTCAGGCAAAGTGTGACGTCTGAATCATTCATGAAACAGGCAGCAAAGTGAGCCTCTCCCCTGATCCACCCACTCCTCTGTAAATGACTCTTATAGTGCTTGTGCTGTAGTGTATAGTTTCCCAGCAGTTAAAGGTTGTCCCTTAAAAGTGCCTTTTGTTCACAGACTCCATTTTGTAAATCAGATCGCCCTTTTTTCGAAATGGCTTGAGGTAGCAGGTTGCCCCTGAGTGCCACAAGGATGCTGAAGGCTGTCATCCATTCAGCGCTCAGGGACAACTTTTTTCCTCCAGCTTTGAAATGAATCACCTCCATTGTACCTCCCTTTTCCTCCTCTTTTCCTTTTCAAAGCTCTATACATATATATACATATACATATATATATATAGTGCAAAATGAAACTGGTGTGAATTAGTTATTTGCTTTTTAATGATAAATGATGACAAAAAAGTTTTGAAAAGGCAAAAAAAAAAATATGTTCTTGTTCCGCTCTTGCTTTTTTCTTCCCCTCTGTCTCCACTGTCTGTTTTCTCTTAGACACTGGAGTAGTCTGTAACTGTGTGTCCGTCACTCTCCGTCTCTCTCTCTCTCTCTCTCGTGCCCTCTCTGCTGTTGGGAGGGTGGAAAAAAATATGGCAGAAAAACTTTTGTCTGAGCAGAATGCAGTTAGCTCACATGTTATTCTTGTCTGTATGCTTCACGTTGTATTACCATACCCATCTTCTTCAGCTTCTTCATTCAACAGCTAATGTAAGTGAACAAATTACGCTGACGGGCTTTTGGGGGTGTCCTTGGGTGGGTTAGGAAGGGACAACAGGGGTTTGGCTTGAAGAGGTTTACAGAGAAGATTAATGGGGTTCAGAGGACTGGATGAAGTGCTTTGAGATGTTAGAAAGTGGGCTGCTTGGACTAAGTGTTTGCTCTTGTTTTAGCTATTTATTATTATTTTAATTTTTTTTCTCCTTTGTTTTATTCCCCCTTTATTGCTTCCTTTTAATTGGGATTTCTTTTAATATTTGCTATCAGGGTATGCTGTCATTTGGGCTCTCTTTGAGAATGCCTTGGACTGTAAATGAAAGCTACAAGCACCTTATAACTGGACTTGTCCTGTATGAGGCTGAAGCAGGGGTTTTTCTTATTTCCAGGACATATCCAACATCAGTTCAAAACCAATCAAAACCAGTGAAGTATTACTGTTCACAGTGGGTTTCACACAGCGAAGTTCTCAGCAGTATTAGCTGTTTAAAACACACCAACCAGACAGATAGATAAATAGCCAGCATAGACCCGATCACTCTGATTCACAGAAGTCCCTCCATTTTCCCCTCTGACCACCTCATGCTGGACTGCTCCACATCTTTGTTCTGTTATTTAGTTCTTTATCTTCTTAAGCGTGTATGGTAATCAGTGTATTAGGCGGCACCCTAGGCCCCCTGACTCCCAGCTCTTCTATGCCTCTGTCTACACCCTCAGCGCAGCACCACTTCTTTGTGAGAACACCCCCAGAGCTCTAGGTGAAATGCATGTGTTAATTACAGTTTCTTTTCCATAAGAAGAAAAACACAGTTTGAGAAGAGCAGCACCCGATTGAATAAAAAGGATGTTCTTGACTGTACCACCTTGCTGTGCCATGTCTTTCTTTATACTAATGCCTAACTAATCAGCTCAGAAGCTGCAGTCGTCACATGATAGACACAACTTAAACAAATGGCTTTATGCAGTACCTGTCTTCACCTACTGTAAGTAGTAGTAAACATAGTTTCAGAATTTCTACTATACTATAAAGTGTATGGGTGGAATCGGGTGTATCAAGGATTTTTTTTTTAAGGGGCCACATTTCACACAGAGGAGCCAAGTATATATCCAACATTCATGTGTAATTGTTTATTCATTTTTATAGAATTCAGCAATTACACTTTGTTTGCCACTGTCTCTACAGCTTTATATACTGTACTTATTGTTATTTGTGTGCAAAAACAAAAAGCTTATTCTAAGTGAAAGTGCAAGCGAGACAGAGACAGCTTATGATTGAGGTTAATTCAAGTGACAGGACAAGAGCACTTTGGAAGCCATTCAGCTGGGGCCAGTGACTCTCTGGTACTGGTAAATGTACAGCTTGGTTTTACTAAAGTGCTCCTGGCCCAGTAGTCCCTTCATTCGAGTCCATCTGAAGTGGCTTCTTCACCTGGCTCTGCTGCAGTCTTTAGACAGAAATAACATTAACAGTTATTTCCTGTGTTTTATGTGACAGGGAAAGTGAAAAGAATATCTAGTTAAAGATGATCTACAGTACCTGTGGTGCAGTGTCAGTTTCCTGGGATGAACGGTCCTTCTCTTCATTGTCAGAATCACTGCTTTCTTGTGACTGCTGAGACAGGAGTCCGTTTTGCACTGGTGGGGCTTCTGCACCCTGGATGTTCAGAGATTTCACAGTAAGATCTCACACAAACATAACTCCAAATGGTGGGGAAGACACTTACTTGAGCCTCTGGTGAAGGATGTGTCTCCTGGATGGGAGGGTCCACAAAAGGTATTGCAGCATGCTGAGGGCTTGGTACCGGTTTATGATTTGTGGTACATGGCTGCTTTTTAGAGCAAGGTGTTGGCGGTGGCAGTGGCGGTGGTGGTGGTGGAGTTGAGGCCTAAATATATAAAGAGTGACATCAGAGAAAGCCAGACTCTCACCACTTCCACTAGCTTCTGCCTAACATTGAATCTTCTGATTGGTCTTTCTGAAGAGCTAAAACATGATGGTGGGGTTGTCGGTCCATATACTAAACTAAATGAGTATGTAGTACTCAGGGCGGCAGCTTGAGGACACAGAGGCCATGTAATAACAGTTTACACATCATTACAAGCAGGCTGGGTGTTTAAGGCTCATATAAATGCTTCTTAGAATAATTTTGTTTTAGTTAAAAAACTAAATAGAGCGGCCATAAGCCACACCTGTAGGCTGTACAGGCTGTAGGACTAACATGTAGGACGTTAGTCCCAAGTGGAGCTGTACCCCTGCTGACATGTACAGCACATAAACTATTATTTGTGAAGGACTGATGGAAATATTTTTGATTGAGCTGAATACCTCCAGGATTCTCTACCAGAAAGAAGACCATAAAAATAAAATCGAACTATTACACAATAAATAACAGGTATTAACTTTTTTTTTTACACAGCCCACTCAAAAAATATAACAAATTCAGGTGGAAAGCTATTTCTCTGACGCATTTTGAAACGCGTACTTATAGCGACGTATCAACGCAGTCAGAATACAAAGCTAACAAGCTAACAGTTCCAGATACAGCCCATTTCAGCGGTCTCTTCGTCTTCGTCTTCTTCTTCTTCTTCTTCTTAAACTTATTTATCACAGGGAAGCACACAAGACGCTTAACTTGCGTCGCCTCTTCCTCTTACCATATCTATCCTTTAACGTCTCCCTTCAGCCAATGACCACCACCGGTCAGAAACGGAGGATGCAGAACACGGAAATATCTCCCCAAATAACGTTTACCGACTAAATACAGCTGGCATGAGTTCGCAGGTTAGCCTACTAGTCCGAGCCGGTGATGAATTGTACCTACGTTAGCTGCTACTGAGCTTCGACCACAACATATGAGATAACTGCTGCTAAGACTCACGCGGTGGAAGCATAAAGGGCGGTGCCAAGAAGCCGCAGTGAAGTGGGGATGTGAAGATCGTCTATTAAATATCTGTACAGATGTGAAGCACTGACGGTCTTGTGTTTCTTTCCTCTCGCGGGTGTTTTTACTATCATTTTATGTTTTGAATTTATGCAGCCTATTTATTGGAATTTATAGAGAGAGAGACATGTCTAGCAACCAATAAGTACAGGGACAAAAATATTTCACATATCATAAAACAATGATTTAAAACAACTTAAAGTTATATTAATAAAATTCTCTGCTTTTATTTTGAAGGTCGGTGAAAAAAACATCGAACTAAAGCGAGGTAACTGGATATATAAACAGACCTTATACAGATGCATCAGGCTCAGCATTCATTATACCAGAATTAAATGTGAAATCAAACTGATCGGTGATAATCTCAGTATACACAGGAGAATTACTAGCTATTGTACTAGCATTAGAATGGGTAGAAGAACATAAACCATTAAAAGTCCTAATTGGATCAGATTCCAGCAGTTCTTTATTGAGGATTTGATACATCCAGTCAGGCTCCAGGCAGGACATAATACTTCACATAGCTTATATGCTATTCAGATGTCAGAAAGCCGGAATAGATGTTAGGCTAATTTGGATTCCTGCACATGCTGGGGTGGAGGAAAATGAACTAGCAGATGAATTTGCAAAAGCTACACTTTAAAAAGTTGTATGTGTGGACGCAAGTTATAGTAAGGTTGAGGTTAGGAGTTTAATTAAAAGGAAAATTAGGAAAAGTAGGAGAAATGAGAGGAAATACTGGAAATAGGAAGGAAGAAGATATGGTATGAAGACTGAGATTTGGGCATACTGGTTTGAAAAGTACATTGAAGTTGATGAAGAAGCATAATACAGGGGAATGTGAGTTGTGTAGGGTACAAGAAACTGGAGCATGTTATAATGAATTGTCCCAGGTTCAGGCAGGAGAGGGAGTTGTTCAAAAATACAGTCTTGAGTGGTGGAATTAACTTTAGTTTACCAGGGGTGTTGGGAAAAAGCTCAGGGCATATAGGATACAGAGCACTTCTTAGGTTTACCGGACTACAGGGCTAAGCAAGAAAATATAATGTGAACTTAGTTAGGCTATGTTGTTATAGTAGTACTGTAGGTAGGGGCCGTTCTGATCCACACTCCAGTCTAGAAGGTGGCGGTAATGCGCCTAAAGCTGTTTGCCAACCGCCATTAAGCAACAGAAGACGAAATCGTCGAACTTCCCGATGACGGTTTTCCGTTCTGTATTTTTATGTAAACACAAGAAGCTAACATACAATCAGACGTACAAATCACCCTACTGTTACGGTTAAAATCTATGTCATCGACTGTTGTACCAGCGGTACTGTAGCTCAGTACTGGGCGTTTATACCGTCAAGTTAGCGACATTTCTGCTCCTCGATTCTCCGCCAAGATCCTCACGGAATGACAACAAACTATCAGCTAACGACTAGCTAGGCTAAGCTAACCTCAAGCCAGAGCGGTAGCCAGTTAGCTTAGCTGCAACTGACGCTTGCTAAGTGTCTGTTACGCTCAGAAAGAAGTGGACACTCTCATGGTGGTCTCAGTTCAATGGGGAACTGCCTGTTTTCACAAGGTGCGGATGACTTGTCATTGTTGAACGAGTCCGAGGGGGGCAGTCTGCCCGGAGAGCCTCCGCCGCCCTACCAGGTGAGCATCCTGCCCTTCAAGCTAAACACACTCCCTGGATTAAGAGTGTTGTATCCGGTACTTTTTACCATACTGACTCTGAGAGACGAGGCAGTCCAAGTAACTACAAAACAGTGCTGATTTATTCCATGAACACAGGCAAAAAAATCAACATTACACGCTCAGGTATCTTGCGCCTCCAAACTGCTCGCAGGCAGATGAAAGATGAAAGACCCTGAACCGAACCAGGCCTATACATTTATCTCTTCGGGTGGGCTAGCCCCATACTACACAGAAACGTCAACCGCGACGTGTCCTTGGTGCTAGCTTTGCAGCTGGTCATAGCAGTAGTCAAAACATGAAGTAAATCAATGTGTGTGTGTGTCTGTTGATTAAGTGGTGTGTAACTAAAAACATTCTCACACGACCTCTAGTGACATGTCATGACATTAAACATAAGAACATATTATGGCTAAGGCTACAGTTATACACGTCATAATAATAATATTAAACACCCTGTCTGCTGACAGTCATCAACTCTTCTCTCTAGTTATCCTTGACCAGATGTACCCTGTAGAAACTCATAAGCATGACTAAGCATTTAACAGTCTAACTAGACATCCTATCTCCACTAAACATTTCTAATACATACAAGTACCTAACCAATATCTATCTGACTAAAAATACCTAACAAGAGCATCTCACCTCATTTGTTATTATAGCCCATTACTATAAAGTCTACTGATCTGGATTACTGTATAATACCTGTAGTTGGCTGTAGGCTGTTGCTACACTGTCGGGTTGTGACAAGGATTTTACTCTATTTAGAAGTTGCAGGGTTTTTATGTTTAATCGGGAGCTATATTTCTACATTATTTAAACCAGGGATGGATGAGGACAAGCTTATTGTAAAGTGGTTATTTTATAGATGTTCATTATCACGTGTTGTTCCTAACTTCTTGGTGAACTTGTGGATTGAGGCTGTCTCAGTATCTGTTTTTTCATGTAATCCCAGACTGACTCCCTGATGTTGAGATCAGGACTCTGTGGGGCCAGAGCCAGACTCCTTGGTCTTTGTTACGACTCTGACTGTATGTCTGGAGTCCTTGTCATGCAGCAAAATGAATTTGGGACTCATCAGATGCCTCCCAAGTGGCACTCCATTATGAATAAATCTTTTGTACACTGCTGCATATATAAAATCCCCCTTCCAAATAGGTTGATGCAGTCTGTCTTATATTCCTTCTCTTCCAGGAGCACACCCAACCACCAGTGCCAGTGTACCATCCCACCCCCGGTGAGAGTCGTCTGGCCAGTCAGCTGACTGAGGAGGAGCAGGTCCGCATTGCCCAGCGCATAGGCCTCATCCAGCACCTGCCCAGAGGCGTGTTCGACCCTGGCTCCGATCCCTCTGACAAGAAAGTTAAAGAGTGAGTCTTAAACAGGCAAAACTAATCAGCACATCTGTTTCTGGTGTTGTGTGTGTGTGTGTGTGTTTGGTTTTTTTGGAATCTACACATGGTTTGATAGAAGACATTGAACTGGGTTCACTTTAGTACCATGTTTAACTAAAGCTGTGGTCCAAGCACTTTGATAGATAGGCTGTATTTCTTGAAAGCTACATGTATACAGTCTCAGTATATAGTTAATGTGTGTTTCAATAATAGTCCATAGTCCTAACAAACACAGGCATCTTGTTATACACTTGAACAAATAAGAAGTCAGAGCTGTTTGCAGTACTGTTACAGAATGTTTTTTCTGTTTTGTTACTGCTATATTATTATGACACAAGTTGTAGTTATACTTGCTGTTGGTTAAAATGAGCATTGGGATCAATGAGATTATGTTCATTTTCAACAATGCTTGTGGACGTTTCAGTGTTCTGTACTATAGGTTTTATCATAGTCTGGGGCAGCTGTGGCTCAGAAGAGCAGGTTGTCCCCTAACCAGAAGGTTGGTAGTTTGATTCTCAGCTTCTTCAGTCCACATGTTGAAGTGTCCTTGGACAAGACACTGAACCCCAAGTTGCTTCCGGTGGCTGTCCACCAGTGTGTGAGTTTGAATGGGCTAAAGCACAAATAGTGTGAAAGCACTTTGAGTGTGCTTCAATGAATAGAAAAGTGCTATACAAGTATAAGTCCATTTACTATTTACGTATGTTTGAAAATCTGTAAAAATGATAACGCTAACTTAATTTTATACGTTTTATACTCGAAGCTGAGTAAGACAGATTAGGAGTTTCTCTCTCTTCCAGGTGTGTGATCTGCATGATGGATTTTGATTACGGCGATCCCATTCGGTTCTTGCCCTGCCTTCACATCTACCACGTGGACTGCATTGACCCCTGGCTGATGCGCTCCTTCACCTGCCCCTCCTGCATGGAACCGGTAGATGCAGCCCTGCTGTCTACTTATGAAACCAACTGAGTAGCCCCCCGATGGCTGCTCCTGCCTGAAGTAACTGCACCTTTTTAGACAAAACTGTCCTAGCTGGTCGAACAAGTAGCCAAGGTAATGTGGCATTATGCAGCTGTTTAGAGGGTGTTTTACAATGCAGATACATATTGAAAACTGTGCCCTACAGTACATTGCTTAGGTCTAATATGCACCTTTTTGGGCTTTGGAAACTCCTTGCCTTTTACAGTAGGATGATGTGCCAAATCAAGCTAGGTGAACAGCACGGAAAGCTGTACAAGTAGCAAAATATTACAGCAAAGGAATTTCATTTTTGTCTGACTGACAGTTAATTTATTTTTTTTGTGATAGTTAAATGCATGTCACCAATGTCATTTACTTCCCTTCTCAAGATGTAATGTGCAATATATTATATCAGTGGAGAAAAAGTAGGAAATTTGTCTTGGTCAAGTGGGCGTCATCATTGACAGAATATCCACTGAAAACATTAAGTGAAGTTAATGTGTTTGACAATGAACCCAAGACCCTGAATGTCACAGAAACAGCAGGCCTTGCTACTGAAATGCAACCACAAAAACACAGAAAAAAATAACAGGTTTTTCTGAACAAATATATGCTATGAGGTCGTACGACCATTTATGAGATAAGATGGTGTAATTTCAGCTTTTGAAGATATTCAGAGTGTGATTCGGTTTGAGTTGTCTAGGGTTGTCTGGTGCATACTGTAGGATTCCTTTCAAGCTGCTTTTATAAATGTGGATCTGTATTTTTTTCCTTTCCACATTGTGAATCCTGTCTTTTGCTTTTCCTTGGTTTTGTGCTCTTTGTTTAAAAAAAATCAGTCCTCAGTGTGTTCCTTCCTTTGTTCATAGTCGATGGCATTTGCAAAGACAAGATATGCTGTGCAATCCCCCTTAAAGCACCTTGAGATACCCAGTCATCTGGCTCTCTGTAGTTTGTAGATTTCATAGATGATTGAGTGTTTTGATGTGTACGTGTGTGTGTTTTGAGGGGATAGTGGTAGAGATCGGCATGTTGAGGTTAACAATGTGAACTAACCCTGTTGGTTGTAAACTTCGTTGTAGTTACCTCTCTGTTTCTAGTGTGAAGCTGTTGGATGTTTTATGGCAAGTGATGCATTTCCAGAGCTCCTGGTATCTTTTGATATTAGACGCGTAGTCTCTGATGCTGACAGAGCAATGTATAGCACAAATAAGCAAAATGGTGAAAGAGAAGCTACAGCAGTAAAAAGAATGTAACTTGATTGTTTCAGCTTTCAAAGATGGGATTACTCAGGCTGCTGTGCCTTTTGAGGTTGAGCTAAGCCAATTCCAGTGAAGTACAATCAGATCCAACATGACTTGTGTTTTTCTTTTAGCTGTCCTCTAGGGGTGAGACAGATACCAGCGCTGATTTGTGTCACTATCAAACAGGTCTAGAGTGAAGTCCACAAGTTTGCTCTGGCTGCTGGCAACAATCATTTTGTCTTTTAATTTATAATGTGTGCCACCACAGCACAGGTTTTAGGAAAATTGTGAAAACACAATAAAAGTGGATACCAAATTTTACATGAGTATGATTTGCCTTCTCTTATTTATGTTGATATGGAAGAGGTCACTGTGGCAACAAAACAGGAAAAAACATGGCAGTGACTAAAATATTAATCTCAGATGCTGCTGTCCTGATGGAAAGAGGACAAAAATAGTTTGCCATGTTGTAGATCAGGGGTGTCAAACTCATTTTCACATTTTCATTTTCTCATAAGGGCCACATTAGCATAATGGTTGCCCTCAAAGGGCCAGATTAGCAGTATAAATGTAACTAAATGTAATGTAATTTAAAATAAATTAAACTACTCCTTATCATATTGTTAAATAACTTTCTGTATTTATTACTTATTCAAGTTACAAATATTACATATGCATTTGCATAGATGTAAAAATAAATGTTCAGTTTAAGAAACCCATATTATTACTCCATCAATCAACAAACTATTCATGTAAATCAGGAAAATATCAAAAACAAGTTATGATAGTAACTTTATTCAAAACTTTTTTTTGTCACAATCAAGGGGGGCAGAACTATGGCACAACCAACAGATTATTTCAGATTATCTTACCGACAGAAGTAGCACTTTACAACAACAACGAGGTGATGCTGCCTGTCCTTGAACACACCAAGTAGATCCCTCCTCACCCATAGACACCATCTCACACACATCCTCATCCATAGATCATGTTATGAAAATAACAAACACAAAACAAAATGCAAGCATTCATTCATTAAATTGCACACATATTCTACTGTTCTTAGTCATGGTTGAAATACATTCTATTCTAATTCAGGTTTTTAAAAATGCTTACCTATGTGTTTTCTAACCAGATGTCTGACACCGTTTTCCCCTGGCCAGTGTGTCAATGTCTGGTTTTAGGTCTTGTGATGAGGCAATCCGCAAAACAGTGTGGAGGTTGTCATCGGTAATGCGTCATCTGTGCTTGGTCTTGTTCAGATTCATTATTGAAAAGATCTGTTCGCACAGATAGGTGCTCCTAAACGCTTTAAAGCAGAATATACTTATTTTAATATATGTTTGCACCTATTAAGCTCTCACGCGCCACATAAAATGACGTGGTGGGCCACATTTGGCCCGCGGGCCTTGAGTTTGACACATGTAAATGGTAAATGGTAAATGGACTGTATTTTATATAGCGCTTTCTCACAGTGTGTTGCACTGGCCAAAGCGCTTTACAGAGATGATACACCATTCACCCATTCACACACAACATTCACACACTGATGACGACAAGCTGCCATGCACCGGCGCTAGTCAAGCCACCAGGAGCAATTCGGGGTTCAGTGTCTTGCTCAGGGACACTTAGGCATGCGGGGAGACCGGGAGTCGAACCACCAACTTGCTGGTCAGATGCCAAATCATGAGTGGAAGTGCCAAGCAGCTGAACATCAGCAGTGTCCTGCTCATTACAAGACAATCGCCTGCATGAACAGTGGCAACTAAAGCACAAATACTTCACAAAACTGCGAAAGAGTATTTTCTTTCAACAAATGTTTTTTATTTCAAATGTAACATTTACAGTATTAAAAACATATTGCACATGTTAATGCACACTGCATAAAAGTTTGAGAAAATGTAGAACTCACACACACACACATTACAATGTACATAAAATGTGGTTCTCTGTTAAATTATAAAAATATTACAGTTTATTTATAGACAGTTAAAATCTTGCAGGTTTACAATCAGGTAGGGGTTTTAATAGCTTTACAGTATAAAAGTAAAGGACCAACACATAGTATTTCCTCTTGTGTGCGTGGTGTCTATAAAACGTAGATTCCCATAGTGACAGTAGCCAGAGCCACAAAGAGCCCCAGGATCACCCTGAGCAGTGGGGAAGCCTTGATAGTGGTTCCTGTGAACTGGAGTACCTTTGCTGATTTGGAGTGTGTTGAACTATTTTGCAGCTGGTTTTCAGAGACACTCAGCATCTTCTGTAAGTCCTCAAAGACCTGAAAAACAAAGGCAAGATTATCCATCAGCTACATGTGGTTTCATGAATGAATGTGACGTACTGTATGTTTATTGTTTCTCACTCTGCTTTGCTCTTTACCTGAATGTTAAACTCGAAGGCTCTGACGGCCTCCTCCAGCACGGCGTTCCTCTCCTCCTCTGTCAGCTCCACACTGTTCATCCGGCTGCGGTAGAGCTGTTTGAACAGGTTGGGGCTGGACACACCAGGGAAGGTAAAGAACAGCAGACCCTCGCTGCTCTTCAGCCCCATGGACTTCTGAGCGATTCGACCCAAGACCTGACCTCCAGACAGGTCACCTAGGTACCGGGTGTAAGCATGGGCAAGCAGAAATTCTGGGTTTTCTTTACCAATCTGAAAAAAATCAGGGATGCAGACTGTTATTTGAGTAGTAGACAAATAGAGGTGCATATAAATATGAAGGAAATAATTGTGTGTAACACACATATGACACAATGAAGCATACCTGTCTGAGTCTGTGGGCGTATCTTTTAGTGGCTGCAGGGACAACAATCTTCTCTCTCCAGTCCTGGCCATAGAAGTATTCCAGGTCTTTCTCAATGGACTCCAGTCTGGCCAGTTCAGTAGGGAAGTAAATGGGTGCAACAGCAGGGTGGGTGAAGTTCCTGTCCATCTCTTCCTCCAGGGCCTGGTAGATTTCATGCAGTGAGCAGAGGAGGAGCTGAAGAGGGGCAGAGAGGGCGTCAGACCAAAAGACATTGAACCCTGGTGCCCACTAGATATTATAAAATCTGAAAAAATAAGCCTATCTACAGTGGTAGAAGAAGTACTCCGATCCCTTATTTATGTAAAAGTAGCAATACCATAGTGCAAAATTCCTTAGCAAAATGTTACTTAAGTAAAAATACAAATGTATTACCATCAAAACATACTTAAAGTACTAAACGTGCAAGTACTCATTGTGTAGAATGGCACATTTAGCATTAATATATATCATATTATTGAATTATAAATACTATGTACATCACATTTAATGTTGCAGCTGGTAAAGGTGCAGCTCATTTAACTACCTTATATATGTAAAGTATAATTTGAATTACTGCTGGGTAGCTTGTGAATTTTCCACCAGAAATCAAGAAAGTCTTATGATCGTACTGTAATTTTTGTATTATTCTTTTTCTAAAAAGTAGCCAGTAACTAAAGTTATAAAATAGATGTAATGGAGTAAAAAGTACAATATTTGCCTCTAAAATGTAGTGAAGTCAAAGTATGAAGTAACACAAAATACTCAAGTACAAATACCCCAAATTGTACTTAAGTACAGAACCTGAGTAAATGTACTTAGTTACTTTCCACCACTGACTATCTAAATATCTGAGCTGTACTACTGTATATTACCTTATATTGTGCGAGTGTGACTTGTCCCCTCTGGAAGCTCAGCATCAGTTCTGTGTTCTCTGCTCTGACGTGACTATCCTTAGTCACCTTTTTGATTTGTTCGGACAGATCTCTGCAAGGGAAAATAAATCACAGTCAACACAACCAGCTCAATGTACTGATCTGATCTGGATTCTGGATCTGACGGCCTTTTAAATTTTTTAACATTGAAAATCCCATTTAATACAGATTTTCTGCCATAACTTGGCCTATAATGAAGATAGAACCCTGAAATGTTCAGGTAAGATGCATAGTATAACTGTCTGTCATACCCCAAAAGATGTTCCGAATCCAATCTGGAACAAGGATCTTAGGACACATTTTGTGTTGTTCTGGACCCATTTACATGAGTGAATGTTGTGCCTTGGTGGAGGTACATGTGCTCTCTGAGTGCTCTTGTTTAAAATGAATCCAGTGTGAACTCTTAGTATTCTAGGACCATGTCAAAAATGGATACTACCCCCTGGTGAAATGTGAATGAAGAGAAAAGAGGATTCAGAGATCCACTAAATCAGTTTATTCTAACCTGTCAGTCATCTGTGCTGCTGTTGTCTGAGTTTTCTTCTCTGCTTCCATTGTGGCCCTAAAATAACATAAACATTAAATGTTAGAAATATGCTTTTACAGAACAAAATCAATATTATAGCATGGATATCAACACTATATAGTAAAAAGGCATTAACATAAGGTTCTAAAATTCACATGTAAACAGAAATATTGTCTTTTACTCACCAGTTATGATGAAGTTCTTCAGTTCTGATACTTTGGTCTGTGTCCACCGTTTACCCTTTAGATGTCCAGTACAGTTCTGTGCTATTGCTGCCGTCTTCTCCTTCTTTTATACAGCCCTCCTCTGTCTCCTCCCTCCAGCAGCTGAATGAAAACAGGAAGCAATGTCACAAAACCTCAGCTAAACATGATGTGGCAACTTCAGCAAAAAACAGCAGGAGGGACTGAGAGTTAACATGATGCAGCAGCTTTGTGGAGCGCTTGGAAAAGTTGTGAGGGAGGGACTACGGGACATAGCATGAGTAAGGGAATTTTAACAATGCCCTGGAAAACCAGGGGGAGGAGAAGAGGAGGAGCAGAGTGTAAGCATGACTGTGTGAGTTGCTGAAACCAGGGAGGGAGGAAATGTTGAAATGACTAACCACAGAGAACAATCACATGAATGTACTAGACGACACAGCAGCAGTTTGCAGTTCATAGGAAATATAAACAAGCTCAAGCACATGACTAGATTATTCAAAAGTCTATCAGACCTTGACATGAGAAGAACAAAATTTAGCTGAACTAGTGGTGATACTGATAAATTAGGTGGATATGCACATTCTAGTTTTATTTATCCAGAGTATCTGAAACACGGTTTAACTTACTCTGCTACTGATTTACATTTATTCCAATTACAGAACTGACTGGGCAACATTCAACATGAAGTGTTCATAGTGTGAAACTGATAAAAAATGGCAAAATGTATATACTTTTAATGTAAATGTATTTATATAGCCTAGCACATTTCAAAAGCTCAATGTCATGTGTGCTACACAATGAAAATAAGGAACCGTATTTGAAATACAGACTTAAGAAATGTAAAAACACTATAAAACAGAAATCAGTAAAACAGAAATTCATAAAGGTGACACAAAGCCAAATTTAAACATATAAATCTTGAGCTGCTTCTTAAGTGTCCACAGATCAGTGGGAGAGAGCTCCAAAATTCAAGAGCAACAAGTGAAAAAGCACAATCTCTTTGTTCCTATTCAGCCATAAAAGCATTAGTGATAACTAAGGCTTGGTTCACACTTCCCTAAATCCACCCCATATGTGATGTTGGATGGGGTTGAGGTCAGAGCCCTTTGCAGGCCAGTTAAGTTGTTTCCCAACAGATTTGGAAAACAATTTCTTTTTCGTTTGAACACGGGTACATGCACGGGTGCATGTTGAAACAAAAAAACTGCAGCAAGTGGACATGTCTAGGGTCTAAGGTTAGGGGCTGTCTGTTTCAGAGATTATGGAGCCATTTGAAGCAAATTTGTCATTTATAATTTCTGGGCTACATAAATAGAACTGACTTAACTAAATGGCACTGGATGTTAAGGATTACCCTCAAGCCCAAACCACAAAAACTGCCCTATATAAAAATGAAAGTGTGCAGCCAAATTGGAATTTGATTGATAGAGAAATGTAGAAATGACCAACTGTAAAATAGTAAAAATATTATCCACAACTTAGAGACATCAAAAACATATAGTTCATCTAGTAATTTTCTTTCACGGGTGTCACCTAGAACTCCAGACTGGTGTGCACCTGTTCAGCCAGCTGCGCAATCACAACAGGTTTCCATAAAATGTGACTCAGCGATTCTTTCTTAACGTGACTCAGCAGAGACAGACAAGCGGTGAGGTCGAGAAACGTGAGTCAGCAGCTTTCAAAACTACGGGTGAAAACACGGCCTGAATGTTTTTGTTTTGTTTTTTAATCAGGGTTTGTCAGCTACGTGTTAACTCGTTGTTTATTCGATAATATCCGATATGCCCTACATTAAAGGGTTCTTAAATTAGCGTTAGCATGAGGACAGGTTTGTCATACTCTGGCTAACGCTGCAACCGGGAAACAACAGGCTGAACTTGGAACATGGCGACACAACCAGCTAGTACACATCTGGTCCGTTTGATTACTTAGGCCTATTTGTGGTAGAGCTGACGGTCAAATGTTTAGATCGCTCACTCGCCCTCTAATGTTATTGTTGCTAAATCTGACAAAAACAATCCTTCGGGCTAATCAGCGCCGCTGCCCAATGGTAGTTAGTGCTAAACGTGAGGGGGGTTTATAGCCTACATCTGTTTACATTTTAGAAAAGTAATACGCCGAATTAACTATTAGCAGTTCCTGTTTAATGTTTAACCACGGATGTCCAGCCAACTATCAGTGGATTACTTTGATACTGAAGAAAACGTAAAAATGTCTGGATTCTCGGGGAAGTTCTGCAGCGTCTATCATTTCAAAGTGCATTTTTGGACGTTTATTTACGACGAACATCGGAGAAAATGACGTCCTTGTAAAGTGTAAGTTCAACTAAATATAAGCTGTGTGCTTGATGTCTGACTTTAGATCCGAGTGAATTATAGTGTGACTCCGATTTTCTGGCACAGACGTTGTTGCCTCCATTAGCTGTGCCTCACAGCCACTGCTGCAGCTGTTCTTTTTATTGATAAACAAACTGCAATAACTACAACAGCTGCATGCACCTGTCCCTTTCACCTTGCAGAACAGTGTCTGTGCCTCAAACCTCTCCCTTTTTGTAGGTGGAACCTGTCCTTGCACCTTGCACCTTTCCTTCTTTTTTGGCTTACAGTACCACGATCCTGCATAGTCAGTTGAATTCGAGAGTTAATGATTTGTTCACCAGTTAAGCAAACGTCTGGCTAAACTCGTTCACGTCTTGGCAGAATATATTTTGGCTAGATAACCTTTTTTGTCTGATAAGTGTTTTAAAAAATATCAGAAAATGGTGAAAAATGCCTGTTACAATTTCCCACATCTTGTTATGCCAGACAACACTCAGACCAACAGCTGAGAAATAAGCTTGAATCAAGATGTGTTTTGCATTTTTGCCTAACAAATGAATAAAATGCTCATTCACTCATAAAAAGTGTTTGTGTAATTTTCTGCATCTAATTGTTGCAGCATTGCTTGCAGTACAATCTCAACTGGAGCGCATACTTGTTTATAAATTGTACTCACTGTTGCTGTTGTCTGAATCACTATCCTTCTCATCCCTGGTGGTATAGATGGATGGCGACACAGGCCTAGTGAGAAACAGCCAGAGGGAGACGTCTGCCAGATACTGTCTGATGGATGTGGAGGAGCTGGAGGAGCCAGAGTCAGATGCTGAGGAACATTACAAGGTGAACTCGGGGCCTGCACCTGTAGGTGGAGGAGGAGTTTTTCAGATTATCTTTCAGCTGCAACTGAATATTGGCATTGAGTTGTGATTAGGGGTGAGAGAAATCATAAAATACTCTGACATCTTATTAATACAGTGGCATCAATATCGTAATGATGACGGCAGACATTTAAATTCTGTACTTTTCCACTTTGTAAAAGCCTTTTACAAGTTCATGGCTGTGTGCGAACAACAGTTTTGCATTTCATCACAGCTGCCTATGAAACTAAAGCTCAAAGTTCATCATAATATAACGCATCAATTCAGTATACAGATTTTTGCTCTAGTGAGCATTTACCGTGACATTGGGCTATGTTATCCTATTCAGTCTTACACTTATTATAGATGTACGTTACATTACTATTACTTTATCACGGTACCGTTGTTGTTGTGAGCAGAATATTGTGATATTCCTTGATCTTAAATGTGATGAGTTTGTATTGGACTTTTTCAGGAACCAGAGTGCTCCTTTAACCAGATGGGAAAACCCTCTGGTATGGAGTAGTTTATTATTTACTACTAGCATGTTGTAGTGCATTTTACATTTACAAATAATTTGTAGATAAAATAATGAGGGGATTGGCTTGTATAGTAAACTATACTGAACAGTTTGCAGTATTAAAGACACATTTCTGTTGTCTGGCAAGAATCTCCTGAACCTGTTGGTGCTGAGACCTCGGGCTTCCTCTCTGCCTGTACAGTTTGTGTGTCACAAGACCGATGGAGCGAGACAGGAGAAGAAGAGGTGAGAGAACAGATGAGCTGTAATAACATGTCGTAAAATGTGTTTTTACACAAAATGATTTACCACTCAGGATTGCTACATGCTGCCTATGATTTCATCCCTTCCAAACTTGGCTCATGGCTAATGCAGTGTGTAATCTCCCTCTGTCAGGACATCCAAAACAACTTGTTGCATTCATGTTGCACAGCAGAGGGCAGTACTGATCAGGTAATCTCCCTCAGGCTGGTCATGGTTGACTTTCTTCTTTTCACTACTGTTCCTCATGTTTTTACTCCTCTGTTTCTCCCAGGCAGATCAGAGCTCCACGTTAGAGTACTCTTTTTATCTAGATGAACAACACAAGACGTCAGACTGGTCCCTTATTCGGCCGGTCACTCCTGTAACCCACAGGCCTTGTCTGTTCATCCCTGGTCCTAGTTCAATGACAGCCACTGCCTCTACAGTGAGCTCTGTAGTTAATCCAGCGGTACCCATTACTTCCATGTTCACTCCCACTGGTTCAGCTTGGGACCCTCTCAGATCCACATCCAGGAGTGCTGGCTGCTCTGATGGGGATCCTGTCAGTGCTGCTGCTCATCTACACCTCTTGGGAGAGTCCTTGTCCCTGATTGGACACCATCTTCAGGAGACAAATGTGAGTGAATTTGGTGTAGTAAAAAAACAGAAATGTTTACAGTACTGGTCTGGGATGCTTCCTTTAATGTTGCAAACTCTTGCTTTCATGTTTGGCTGTCCATATTTTGACTCTTTCAAATCATGGTGTAATGGCACTTAAGTGCTACTTCATCAGTCCATAGCATTGTAGGGTATTGTGGCGAGCTAGTGGGTTCTAGAGTTTCTGCCAAGGAATGACACTGGAGTCAGGCTGTCTTTTTATGCAGGCTTCCGTGCCCCATACATCACACGACCCTGGATGGCTGCTGCTTTTATTGAACACAACACAAACTTTTATATACATCGGATGTCGCATGTGTGTAAGGTCCATGGCGTTCCCCCAACACGCTACAGTACGTCTGTTTCTGTTTACCTTGTAAGTCAACAGACAAACCCTCTGGCTACAGTATGTTCTTTGTCTGTTTACCTTATAAGTTGACTGACAAACTCTGGCTCATTGGTAGAGCAAATTTGATTAGTTAATCCCACATGGTATTTTATGACAGTGTTGTTTCAACTAAACGTGTGTGTGTGTGGGAATGTTTTCCTGCTTGCTGGGATACGTGTGTGCATGCTCTCAAAGGATATTTTGGGAGCATGTCAAGGAAACAAAATGATGGGAGATACTGCAATGTTAAAATTCATAATACATGAGTGGTTTACTGCAGCACTGCTGACACAAACGTGTGCATTTCTCCATCCACTTGCTGACTGAAAACCAAGAGGGGCACATTTCATTTAGCCTGTGAAGGACATATTCACTGCATTACCTGATCTTACAGGCCTGTCTGTGTGTGTCTGTAGAAGAGAGTGTGTGTGTCCAGGAGCTTGTCTCTACTCTTGGACTCTCTGCTGTGCGCCCTGGCTCCTCTGATGTGCCTCACCACACAGGTACCGGAGCTGAAGAGCTGCACACAGCACACACTGGTGAGAGACACTGAGACTTGGCAGAACACACAGACACCACATATTTTTCAAGTTCTACATATGCACAAGTGACAGGATGTCTTTTTTTTTTTTTGTGGTGGTTTTTTTTTTTTTTTTTTTTTTTTTAGGCCTCCACTCTGGAAAATATTGCCTATGTGATGCCCGGGCTGTGAGTGAGGAAGACCCCTGTGACCTTATGCAAGTTGTTCTAATTGGCTAAAAGACACTAGTTTACACTGGAAAAAGAAGAATCAAACCTGTTTTGTTCTAAAAGAATCTTTGTTTATACCACACACAATTTTTTGTGTTAAATGAAAGTATCTAAGTTTGATTCAATATGTCAGTTTACTTTCTTGTATTAATTAAAAGATGTTTGAGCAATAAATTATGCAACTTTGTCATTTGAATAGTGTTTGTGTTTGTGTCCCTGGCAGTTTAGTTCACAGTGAAGCTCAGCTAACTTAACCCCCCTCCCCCTTCCCGGCACAGCCATATAAACAAAATAAATGACTATTTGACCCAGTGGTAGTGGTACCCAAGTCAAAGTCCTCAAGGTCGTTAAACACGGGTGACAGCTTTCACTGTTTTATATTCCAAACCTTATAACAGTGTGTTGTATCATATTGCCTGGCGAGTCGATACATAAAAATCATTTCTAGAAAGGTGGAGCGTATGCTTCAAAAGAAGTCTGTCAGATACAGCGTGGTGCAGACAAACAGGTTTCAATGTCAATATCCTGTGCCAAATTATTATGGCTTATTACCAAAAAGAAGTCTGAGACCTCATCGCAACCTTCTGAGTCCGAATGCATTCTATGCTCTAAAATCCAGACTTAAGTCACACTCAAGTCCGAGCCCTGCACTCAAGTACTACAACACTGATTTAAGTTAATACTTACAAAACACAACTGTAATACAGTTTTGAGGTCTATTATCTGCTTCTGATCACTTTAATAATCAACAAATTCAGCAGCTGTGATTTGATAAGTTGTAACAGGTACTATGAAAGTGAAAGCTTTCAAATGATTCAAACTTGTAGGTATGTAGGATGAAACTATGGCTGAGACATGCCCTCAGTCCTGATTGGCAGTGACAACTGCAGCATGTCAATACATTCACAAAACACTGAAGGCCACTTTACGGGTGTGGTAGATAAAACTAAGATTCATGATTCATTTGCATCTGCTTCGCCCCAAGTTGGAATGCTTAGCAGCGTGCAAACAAAGAAACCTGTTATGCATGCAAAAACGTGTGTTCAGGCTGGGGAGTGGTGAGACAGGTGCCTTCAGGGAGATGTGAGCCTCATCTGTCTTGGCAGCTTTTAGTAGTAGACTGGGAACCGAAAAGTACTTCAGTGAGTTGTCCAGAGCAGAGCCGTAACTTAAGGCCAACTGAGCCGAGTACTCAGAAGACAGTACAGTACATGAACTCAAAAACGTCACACAGTTGAGTAAGTATATTTCTGATTGCTTGAAAACTAAGTTACTAAAATAACTAGTTCTCGCTGAAACATTGGTGTGAAATGATAAATTATAAGTGATTGTATAAGGTTTCTTGGTTGTATTATTATTTGATTGCAAGAGTTTACCCATAAATGTAATGTGCACTGTGGGGTATTGATACCAGCTCTGTGAAAGTCTGAGCAAATGGTTGTCAGTGTTTTGTCAGGTTTGAAAACACTTGCACGCTAATGTTCTTTACTTTTGGTGTTCGCTAATGGCAGATGTCTGTTTCAACTCGGAGTTAAAAGTGTGCGGCCTTTGTGAAATGCTATGCTGTGTGGTCTCATAGTGAGCTTATACATGTAATGCTGTATGTTGAGTTCATTTTTTTTTGTACATTTGCAGGATGTGTTCTGTGTTTGTTCTCATTTCACTCCAGTCATAAAACTCCACATAGAATGTAGCTGAACAGGACTGGCAAGGTGTGGCATGATGCACACAGAGAAATGAAGGATGCAGTGAGAAACACAAGAAAGGTTCCAGTGTAGTGGAAACTTCTCTGAGTACAGCCATTATCAGTTTTCTTCATTTTTGATGAATCACGCACAGCAGGTGACAGGATGTAGTGATTATGTAAAGGTGATGCTCAAAGGAAACTAAATGAGCAGTGCTCTTTTAACTGATGGACACAAACATACTATAGGCAGCAGTGGAAAATAAATAGGTACATTTACCAGGGTTGCGCGACCCTGGTAAATGTACCCCCGAGACCCGGTTCCCGATAAGCGGAGGAAAACGGATGGATGGACATTTACCAGCGGTGGAAGAAGTACTCAGATCCTTTACTTAAGTAAAAGTAGCAATACCACTGCGTAAAAATACTCTGTTACAAGTAAAAATCCTGCCTTCAAAATGTTATGTAAAAATACAAAATTAGTAAAAATACAAAAGTATTAGCACCAAAATATATATAAGGTTCCAAAAATAGAAGTAATAATTTTGCAGAATGTCATAAATATTGTACTTTTTACTCCACATTTACTCTAACTTTGGTTACTTCTCAGAACCAGATGAATAAAAAAGTAGAGCAGAATCATAAGACTTTATTGATCCTCTGGCAAATCTAAATGATAACCAACAATAATTCAGCATATAAATGTGCTCCCCTTTACCATGTGATGAACACATTAATGCATCACTAACTATAATCCAATAACATGATATATGTTGATGTGAAATGTCCCATTCTGCTTGAGGACTTTTACTTTTGATACTTTAAGTACATTTTGATGCTGATGCTTTTGTATATTTACTTAATATTTTGAATCCAGGATTTCAACTATACTTTGAACATAGTATTTTTACACTGTGGTGTTGCTACCTTAGATTTTGAGTACTCCTTCCAGCACTGCAGAAAAAGCAAGGCATCAGACCATCAGAGCTGAAACACACAAGACAAATGTTACAATCATCATAACGTCTGTGTGTTTGGCTTTAGCAGTCACTAATCCTGTCCTTATCAGATGTCAGATTAGATAAACCCCTTCTTCCAGCTCTTGGGTCTTTCAGTTTTCTTTGCATGAAGATTTATACTATATAGATGAAAACACATGTCAAACAACACGTCCTTGGTAAGTTTGTGTAATCTTTGTTTACATTTAATTACATCCACATAGCACATCTGACTTCTTTTTTTTTTCTTTTGTCAGTTATGAGTGAACACTTGAAAGGGAGCACCCCTGGGTCCTCACTGCCAGAGCTGAGGCTTGTTCTCTTGGGGAACATTGGATGTGGAAAGACATCATCAGCAGACACAATCCTAGGCCAGCTGTCCCCTGTTTCTTCCAGTGCTGCGAGGAACTGCCAGTTAAGACAGGGCTTCACTGAGGGCAGGAATGTGACTTTGGTGGAGGCACCCAGATGGTACTGGAGTGGCGGCAAAATGGAGGACGGTGTGAGGAAGGAGACAAAGCGAGCGATGACATTGCTAGCACCAGGTCCACATGGTCTTTTGCTGCTGGTGCCTGTTAATCAGTTCACAGAGGTTAGTCTTAGTTCTTGTTCCTCTCCTGTTGTGCATGGGCGGAGCCAGGGGGTGGCATCGGCCACCTCCAGAATCTGATTGGCCACCCCTGGTGACTCCCCTGCCAGTGTGAAAATATGATGTGTGTCAGTATTAATGGGAAAAAAAGAAAAAAAACAAATTGCTGCCTTTAAATACAACAAACTTTTTCTGGTGCTTTGTAATTGATATTTGTCCAGTTGGTTTTATTTTATATCATGCATGCAGCTTGTTATTTACATCAATTTCTCTGATTGTGTTGTTGTTGAGTACTTGGCATGAATTGCCTCAGTGGCAGGGGGAACCACTGTGCAGCAACAATGTCCCCAGCCTGCGGAGCCCAGCCAAGTTTAGCTAAAGGAAGCACTAAACAAATATGTGTCTCATGTTTACCTTAAATAATTTGTAATAATATATTGTTTATTATTTCATAAAAGTAGGAGCCTAATTTACATTTTACACATCTTTAAAATGTGCCATCCCTCTCTGTTTGTGCCCCAGTCTGGCCACCACATCCAGTATTTTGTAGATCCACCACTGATGTATTTAAGCAGTTCTGACAGTCATGATTTGGACTGAAGCCATTTAAAAAGTCACATTTTTGTGTTTTCTAATGTGCATCCTTTCATCAACAAAATGTGGCAAGTATACAAAATGAATCATTTAGTGAATTTATTGGTTAAAATGAATGTGTCCCGGGGTTCCCAGATGGAGGGCCGTGTCCCTGCAGAGCTGAAGGAGGTGTTTGGAGAGGAGTCACTGGATCACACCCTGGTTCTGCTCACCTGTGGGGACTACTTGATGGGAAAAACAGTGGAGGTATTAAAGAAGTAGTCTACAAAAATACTCCAAAAATGGTCGGTGCACAACAGTACACTACTTGGCCCTTAATTTTCATTTGCTATCTTAGTTTATTTTAACCACTGACTTTTATTGGGATGTAACTCAAATTGTGATTCTGAACAATTGTTTTATGTATTGGAAATGGAAATTTTAGGCAGGAACTTTAAATTCACACAATCCAAACTCTTCTCCACAGGAATACCTGCAGAAAGAACACCCAGGCCTGAGGCAGATAATCGAGGGCTGTAGAGGAAGGTACCATGTCATCAACAATCGTAAGAAACAGAACAGGGAACAGATCCAGGAGCTGCTGGAGAAGGTAAGAATTTGGAGCAGAGAACAAGTAACAGAACAGCACTGATGAAATGTTTCCTCACATGTTTTGTAGTGTGTTTTGTGAACATCTTTTCTGCCTCTCATTTTGGGTTAATGTACTTAAAAACACTTGAAGTGAGGTACAGTGGATTTCATGATCTCTTTGACCACTTTTTGACATTTTTTAAAAAATATGACTCAGTTTTATTGTATGCCACATGTGTTAGACTTCTGTTTTATTTTGTAGTTTTTCCCAGCAATGGCCTTTTTCTCATACCATCAAACTCAGCCATAGTTAAGACCCATGATTAGATTAATTGCATTGTGACATTGACTGACAGGGGAATTCATTCCAGTGTGTGAAGCAATTGCAGGAGTTATAAAATGTGACATTTTAATTGTAAATGTTGGTACGAGAGGCATTTCTTTAATTGTTTGTTTATTTATGTAACAGGTGGACAATATGGTCCGGCAAAGTGGGGTGTACTATAGTAAAACAGACACGCAAAGAGAACTTGACAAAGGAGTGACAGAAAGAAAACAAGAATTTATGGAAAGTTTTGGAGCTCAAAAGGAAGAGAAACGAGAGAGGGTTGCATCAGCCCGCACCCGAAGCATAGAAAAACAGAGGAGTATCGATATAGGAGAGCTGTATGGCACCACCTTGGAGAGGAGAAGAAGAGAAGCAAGGAATGAGATG